TTCTCCTTCGTGATCCCCTCTGTCCAAAATCTATTTCTGTGACACTGCTTCGAAGCAGCAGTGTTTGCATTTCCTGTTTTGGCATTTGGTGTATTGAATGTAATAGTTAGAAACTCTGGTTTCAGGAGATGAGCTGCTGCTGAAGGTAGTCAGAGAAATGTCGTTCCAGTGTCCTTTCTCAGACGCTGAGATAGCACCAGTGTGTGGGTTTACTGATGAGATGCATACTTTGGCAGCAGCCGATTTTGGATCTGCTTCGAGCTATCTCATGCTGGACTTAGATGCATCTTTTAATTCCAAAGCTCCCTTGATCCTTAGCAGGGAGGGCTGACAATGTTGCTAAATTGCATGCCATGTGAAAAGAAAGCAGTGCTTGAGAAGTTTGATATCCCCAAATGGTTGATTTTTTTTTTTTATTTTATTCCCCTCACCCCAGTCCCTTAAGGTATCTAGCATTGAGCATCCCAAGCCTGAGGCAGCCTGAGTGGCTTGTGTGTCAGGTCTTGGCCACCTTACTGTTACAGAGCAGGAAATCTCAGAGAAATGAGCTGGGGTGGTCGCTTATTTCATAAAGTGCCTTTTTACTACCGGCAGATCTGGGTGAGAGCTGGTTTGTAGTTAGCTGCCTTCTGAGAAATTCACCTCTATTTGACACTTGTGAGATTGAGTCTAGGCACCAGATGAGTCCAGTTTGGGCTGTTCAGGACACAGCAGAGACAGAGAGGAGCAAATTCAGCCAAGGCCACCAACACAATGAGGAGCTGGAAGTCAGAATGAATGAAAGAGGGGCTGGGAGAGTGGGTTGATGCAGCCTGGAGAAGGGAAAGTGGCAGGCTTACTGACAACTGCCTGATGCGAAGGGGTAGATGACCAGGGTCTTCTGAGAGCTGTGCCCCAGGACTAGAGGCAGTGGTATAAGCTGGATCAAGGGAAATTCCCAGTAGATACGAGGAAAAAGGTTTCCCCCAACCCTGGAGCAGGGCCCAGAGAGGGCAGGAATCTGCAAACCTGGAGGCCTCCAGTGCTTGATAGGGCCAGACCCTGAGTGACCTGCTTAAAGTGGTAGTTCCCATTTGTGGGGTTGGGACTGATCCACTCTGAGATTCCAGGCTGTGTAATTTTATTACTTTAATGCGGCCTAAAGTTACAGATGGCTAAAGCCAGTAGAGATTTGGACAGCCAAATGAATGGATGCTGTAGAGCTATACTGGAAGAGTTGGCTACAGTTGATCTTATCTACACGTCTGGATCTTAACATTCTCTGTTAATTTGAGTCAATCCCAAAAGTCAACACTACATCTGAGAACTTGTATGATAGCTAGGGTATGTCAAGCAGTTAGAGATATCATTTACAGTTTAAGGAATAAGTGTATTTTATACTGAGCTTCATTGCCTATTGCTATCTCTGTTGGCCACATCAGAGGGTCACAGAGCTTGTTTTGTAGCAGAGTCTGGCAGCAGAGGCCGTTATTCAAGAGGGTGGGCTTCAGTGAGGTCTAGATACATGCAGGCGATTCCCTTTGTATGTCTGGGAAGACAGCTAAGAAACAATTGTAGAAGACAGCAGGAAGACTTGAAAGTGAGAATCTCAAGAGCATATAAATGGCTATGTGCAAAAACGTGGACTCCTGGGTTCTGTAGACTGGGAGGGTTTGTTGAACTATTGTTTTCACACAGATGTTTAAAATGTTTCCTTCCGGATAGGATGAGGAGGAGTCACTGAATGAAGTGGGCTATGACGACATTGGTGGCTGCCGGAAGCAGCTGGCTCAAATCAAAGAGATGGTGGAACTTCCCCTCCGACACCCTGCACTCTTCAAGGCCATAGGGGTGAAGGTAAGTCCCTGCATGTGCCAGGAGGATGAGTGGGCTCGCCCTTGGAGATGACTCTTAATCTCAGAGATTTATGAGGCATTGCTGGGGGGAATAAGTAGTTTGTGTTACTTTAAATTTTGGTGTCAGGAAAGTATTTCCTTTACATGTTCTGGACACAGATTACAGTACTGGCAGTTTGTAAAGCAGAGTGATGCTCTGAATCACCACTGTCAGTTACTGGCAAGGTTTTTGTTTGTGTGTCATGCAAAGTAGTAAGAGTGTTGATGGCAATACTGGGATGGCAGCTGTTGCATGAGTTTGCATCACAGTTTCGGACTGGCTTTATCAAATGCTTACAGTTTCACTGTGAAGCTACTTAAGCATTCAGATACTAGCTAACCACCTGAGTCCCTTGCCTTTGTCCTCAGCCTCCACGTGGGATCCTGCTGTATGGTCCTCCTGGCACTGGTAAAACACTGATTGCCCGAGCAGTGGCCAATGAAACAGGGGCTTTCTTCTTTCTGATCAACGGTAAGTTTAGTGGCTACTTTGGCCTCGGATCTGCTGTGTGCTCATTCATCCATCTTACAGTAATGAATGGTGTTAATAGGGCTTGTAGAGCCATGTTGTCTCCCTGACATTCTTTCTTACCTCTTTCAAGTGTGTCTCTGGGGACACAAGGAGGCCATTTGTGTGGAAGCATCTGTAGTGGCACTTCCCTTAAGCTTGATCATGTTGTAGCAGGGTGTTTGGAAGACAGCTTTGCAACACAGGGACTTGGATTCTAGCTGGGTGCTCATTTATATTGGTGAGGGCAGAGCTGGGAGTGAAGTGGTGACGTTATTCTTAAGTATATGGGTGCAGGCCACTTGTTTCTGTTGCTGCCACCATGTTCCATCCAGAAGAGAAGCTGGTCTGCTGTGGATTTCTCTTTCCACTCAAGTAAACCACAAGGCCTGGTTTGTTTCACATAATGTTAGTTGAGAGGAACTTTCCTGAAAGCTGTAATGAGTACCTTGGGACGTAGCTACAAGTGAGAGAACCTCCTATTGATAACTGTCACCTGAAGCGGTTGAGATGATAACTGGTTTATGTCCAGAAGGGACCAGATTCTGAACTTTCCTTGCTGCTTTTCTGTCCCATTTTACAGTTAGTGCTGGAATAACTGAACATTTGTACTTTAGGAGTATAAAAGCTGCTTTGCTTTTCTGATTTCAGTCACGTAGGCCCATGAAGGTGATTGCAAAGGAGTGTATAGCCCAGCGTAGCAGTGACCAGCAGTAGGGAAGTGACGTGCTTTGTATCTCAACATATCAGATGTAAATGGGTTGGTTTTAACCATATGTCGCCCTTGTCATATAAGTCCTAAAGTGTGTGGAAGCTGTCACTGAATGCTAATGAGTCAGCCGTTTCTTTAGACACTTGTACTTCTATTGCATAATTAAATAACGTTGCCAGAGTTAGCGATGCATGCTCTGTCTGCTGGTCCCAAGCCTGGAGCTGCAGGCAGTGTTGTAGACAGAGCTGGTATGAACTGGTGAGTAACTGTAATGAAACATCATAGAACCTGCCTGCACCACTGACTCTGCAGCTGGTGTGCTTTAGTCAGCTAGCAGCTTTGCACTCCTGAGGGTCAGGTTTCTTTTTGTTGGATCTTCTAGAAGCATACTTTCTCTTCAGCATCTCTCCTATCAGCATGATGGAAAAATCTGTAAAAGCAGAATAAATCTGTAAGCCTGCACTAGTGTTCAGCAGTTGTAGGAGATCTTGGGGGACTGCTGTCCTTCCTTTTGGGACTGATGTGCTTATACATTTTTATTTTTTTACTTGTTCTTTGAGAGGAGATGGAATTTGGGGTTTTTGTTGTTTTTTACTCATGTATAGAATCTAACAGAGGTAAATGTATACCTGTGTAATGTACGGTGAAGGGAGCTTCAGTATCTTACAGTTTTTCCCTTCCCTACCCTGTAATTCTTCACCATACAATTTGATTGCTTCTCTTGCAACCCAAGACTAGCATTAACAGTGTGTGATGGCACATTACAGAGAAGCTCACCAAGTGTGAAATAGGGTAAGGAAAAAGGCAGCTAAAGGTAGCTCATTGACTAGCACTGTATTCTGTTAGAGTAAACTGAAAACACTGGAATAATGATAGAAGGTAATTCTGCATGCTGTTCTTGCCTGTTCAGCTGCAAATTTAGCGAACTTGGTTGGTAGTGTTTGCTTTGGCTTGAAATATAGATTGTCCCATGTGAATGCTGTACTAAAAAAATTCAGCTGCATACCTTGGGGCTAGCTGCCTGCCTTCTGGGTGCCACAGTGCCAGTATTTTTCAGGTCCTGAGATCATGAGCAAGCTGGCTGGTGAGTCAGAGAGCAACCTGAGGAAAGCCTTTGAAGAAGCAGAGAAGAATGCTCCTGCCATCATCTTCATTGATGAACTGGATGCCATTGCTCCTAAGAGAGAGAAGGTAAAGAAAGCCTGTAGAAGGTAAAAAGTATGTCTTTTTTTGGTAGCAGCTGGTGTGAATCTCTGCATTTGACTGCAGGGTGAAGCAGTATTTAACTTAACACCTGATTTCAGTTGGATGTGAGAAGAATCAGATATGGTTCATGATGTTTCTAAACAGCTCAAGGCTGTTGTATCTGTCAGCTGTGGTGCAGTACTAGCTCTGGTGCTGTGTTGTAGAGCTTTTGGTCTAACCACTGCTTTCTCTCTCCACAGACACATGGAGAGGTGGAACGTCGCATAGTGTCTCAGCTATTGACTCTTATGGACGGACTGAAACAGAGAGCGCATGTGATCGTTATGGCAGCTACCAACAGACCTAACAGCATTGACCCAGCACTCAGGAGATTTGGTAACCGCGATTCCAGTCTCTTCCTTCTGTATCACGTGCTTTGTTACAAGCTGTGCTTCAGGCACCTTGGAAGGATTGAGCACAAATTAACACTAAACATCATCTGAGTGTTGCATAAACTATTGACTTGTCTCCAGCTGCTTGTTTGAAATTCATTTCTAGGCTTCCAGCCTTTGGTATAATTTTGTGTGCTATATTAGGTTAAAATTTGTAGAAATAAATACTTCAAAGTGAGAAAGTGTGCTAGCCTCTATTAGGTGAAGCTATTTCAGGACACACTGAAGGAGTAAATGCTTAAGGGGATGTTCCTGCCTTAGATTGCAGAAGGGTCTGCATTGCCTGATTGCTCTTTCTTTTATTGATGAGAAGTCCTGTAGTTTCTGAGATTCAAGTTTTCAAAACTTTGCAGTGTGAGTGAATGTCTAGTGTATGACCAGTTGGTAAAGTCTGTAATAAAAAAACAATCAAGCGCGCAGGGGAAAACAGCTGCTTAGTGTAGTGAGGCATTTGAATGCACAGCTATGGCTAGAGGAAAATGATAGATGTACGTACTGTAGTTAATATTGCAGTAATATCTAGGTTTCCTGCCTCTCCAGATACTGGGGCAATTCATGGTTTTCACCACTTGGGTACTGCTCTGAAAGTTCTGAAAAATTAAATCTGTCAGTATTTGGAGACTCTTGTGCTGAGGATACAAAGGTAGAAATAAAAATGTCTCATGGTATGTTGGTTTGAGGAAGCTTATTTTCCTATAAATAAGGTTCAGAAAAAGTTACTAAACCAGCAGTCCTCTGTGTCATATAATCTTGAACTCTAGTTAATACAGTAGTCTCACTTTCCCTAAATGGCTAAAGCCTTTCCTCCTTCTCTGATCTGACTGCTACTGTGCTGATAGATGCTGCAGAGAAACCCAAAGCTCTGGCATTTTCCGAAATTGTATGTGTTTGTGCTTGTCATCATGTTGTTCAGTCAGAGGAACGCAGCAACTGCAGCTCCTCTAGTTGGCAGAAGCAGCAGCTCAACATATATTTTGCACTCCTCAGGTCGTTTTGACAGAGAGGTAGACATCGGTATCCCAGATGCCACTGGGCGCCTGGAGATCCTGCAGATCCACACAAAAAATATGAAACTGGCTGACGATGTGGATCTGGAACAGGTGAGTAGCATGCTATTAGGAAAGCTTCTCTCTGCAGACAGAAGTTCCCAGTGCTCTGTTTTGTAATGGAAGAGTTGTTAAAGCTTGATCGCATAAATGTAGTTGCTGATTTAGGATGGCATGAAACTAGGTGAGTGTGGGATCTCTGGGCTTTCTTCTGACTAGTTTACCAGTAACCAAAAATCCTCACTTGCTAGTTAAGAGTGGCATGGCTAAGTGAAACAAACATGTGTCAGTCCAGTCTGGAAGTTTCTTGCCACTGTCCTGGGTGGGTTTGTTGTGGCATGCTCTTTAAAAGTTAAGCAAACCTGAAACAGCTCACACAATGCTGGGTGAGCATTGTGGTGACACTGGCACCATGTGTAAACTGGATGGTTCCTGTAACATCTGTCCTGAACGAAGGACTGCAGTCCTCAGGGTTATCTTTCTTGCACACCTCTGAATTCCAGTTGCACCTTTGATCTCAAGTAGGAAGTGGAACAGCAGTGTCTTCGCCTGTTAAATATGTAGTAGCGCTTGTCTTGAATCCGCAGCAAAGCACTGATGTTCCTGTCCTCCAGAGCTTTGTCGCACTTCCCAGTGCGTGACCAGAGCATGCATGGCCCTTGCAGGGCGCTTGCTTGTATCCCTGTGAGTCATAGTCAGTGCTCTGCTTTCAGGTGGCAAACGAGACCCATGGCCATGTTGGTGCTGACTTGGCTGCTCTTTGCTCAGAAGCTGCTCTTCAGGCTATCAGAAAGAAGATGGATCTCATAGACCTAGAAGATGAAACCATTGATGCTGAAGTGATGAACTCGCTGGCTGTGACCATGGATGACTTCAGGGTAATGCAGGAGTGCCCCTCCTTCTTTTGGGTGTGATACCTAATTGCTTATCTGAAGCAAGTGAACATAATGTGTTAGAATTCATATAATGCTGTTTCCTTCCAATGATAGTGGGCTCTGAGCCAGAGCAACCCTTCTGCTCTTCGGGAGACTGTGGTGGAGGTGCCACAAGTTACTTGGGAAGATATTGGTGGTCTAGAAGATGTAAAGAGAGAACTCCAGGAACTTGTACAGGTAAGGTTTTTGACCAGACTTTTGCCTAGTCAGCTTGAAAATTATAATAACAAAATCCAGAACTACTTCAAATTCCTGTTTGGGTTGTGATCAGGGTAAATGCAGAGGTTTTTGTGGTATTTGCTTGTAATGGACTAAAAATATCATGCTGTTCCATCTTAGTGAACTCGGAGAGGAAGGTGCTGGGAAGCAGCATCAGGCTTTCCTTAGCTGAGTCTACAGTGTAATCTTGGGTGGGTGTTGTGCTACATGCAGAAACAGCAGCAGTTCTGCTCCTTTTAAGTGGAGACCATCACTGAGTGGGACCACTGCTGAGAATCCTCTTTCATGTTGGCTTTATATGCCAGAAGGTGGATGAAGATTCTCATACAGAGAGCTTTCGAAGGGCTTCCCATCAGCATTAGCACAGGGACAGGTGAGAGGTAATCGTGAAGCCTCCTGCAAAGGGAAAGATGGGACAAAAATCATGATGGTCTGTGGAAACTCCTGGTGCCTGCATTGGGGTGGTTTGGGTTTGATACGTTCCTCCTTTTAGATGGCAGTGTACAAATACCTTGTCTGTGAATAAAAGAATCTAATTTTCAGTCTTAATTTTCTGATGTTAAAATCATAACCTATCTCTGACACTTTGCCTGTCTCTGGAGGGCAGACCGAATAGATTAGATAATGAGCTGTTCCCTTTTGCTTCTGCAGGGCAGAGTGAAGTTGGGGTTAAGTGTGCTGGAAAACTACCCGAACTGGTACTTAGTTCTTAGAAGTAAATAGGTTGTTTAAGGTAGCTTTCCAATGTAGCTGTGGTGCTTTTCAAACCAGTGTCCATTTAAAAACTCCAGTGGCGCTGAGCAGGCAGGGTCTTGTGTTTAACCCACGAGAAATCTCGGGTAGTGTTTCTGGTAGGAGGAGAAACAAAACTAACCTAGTAAAAGGTCCCTGCCCATGGCAGAAAGGTTCAACTAAATGGTGTTAGAGAGTCCCTTCCCACACCCAAACCATTCTGTGATTCTAAGGTACAAGCCTGTTCTGGCTCATCACGAGAGGTTTTTGTTTGGTTTTGTTCTCCTTCAGTATCCTGTGGAGCACCCAGACAAGTTCCTCAAATTTGGTATGACCCCATCAAAAGGGGTTCTGTTCTATGGGCCACCTGGTTGTGGTAAGACGCTCCTGGCCAAAGCCATTGCCAATGAGTGCCAGGCAAACTTCATTTCCATCAAGGGGCCAGAACTGCTCACCATGTGGTTTGGTGAGTCTGAAGCCAACGTGCGTGAGATCTTTGACAAGGTAAGTGTTTCTTCTCCCTGTGCTGTGTTTGTGCTGAGGTACCCCCAAAACACTGTCTCCACTGCGTCTGTCTTACTGGCCTGGCTCTTGTTTGTGTCTCTTGTATTTTCCCCACTTGCACTGAGAGCAGGGGTACTTTCCTGAGGTTAGGGAATTAATTCTCTTCAGCAGCATAGCTATTTGAACTGTTTTCTCTGGCTGCAATTTGCATCTGTTGTTACAGGAGGATAAATGGCCCAGTGCCTTAGCAGTGAGGCTAGTGTTAGGACGGCATAGATATCCTCCGCATCCCTGAAAGCTTACCTTGACACCTCATTTGCCATCACCATCTACAGATTTTCAAAATAACCTGTGGGTTCTTGTCCTGCAACACTCCTACTGCCCAGTTGCCCCATAGTGTCAGCTCCTGCCCCAGAAGGTATCTACATGCATTATCCTGGGAATCCTCGCTCTTGTGGTCAGGGGAGGTGCTAATAGAACAAAGTTGGAGGAGAGTGAGAGAGAAAAATTTAGGTTGGGAGGGAACCTTGGAGGCCATCTTGTCCAGCTGTTTGTCCAGAGCAGGGAGGTGTGTTGGAAATTTGATGAGGTTGCTCAGGGCCTCATGTTCTGAACATGTGCTAAGGGTGGAGAATCTCTGACCTCTCGGGGCTGCTGTGGTAGCGTTTGAGAGCTCCTGTTCTGAAGATTATTTTTTTTTCCTTATTTTTAACTAGAATTTTCTTTGCAGCTGTTTGCGTACCTGTGGTCTTTCATCCTTTCTCTGCACAGCTTGAAGAAAGATTTGGCTCCCTTTTCCCTATAGCTACCTACTAGATAGCTGAAGAAAATGATTGGATTTCCCCCTTCCATTGGATGTATCTTGCCACTGATACCTGAGTGCCTAAATAACCGATTGATGTCCCCAGGTCTTGCAGGGAGAGTTCTAGTCCAGGTTCCAGCTTTCCCTCTAGGCATTGGAGTTACCACCCTTCTGCCTGGTTTACAATGCTCCCAGTTTTGGGGAAATTCGGCTTGTTGTTCAGGAGAATTTAATTGAGGGTTTGTGTGGCAGGAGGCTGTTCTGGGGCAGGTCCTCCAAGCTCTCCTTGCAGCAGCAGTGCTCTGGTACTCCTCTGAGCTGCTTTAATGGTTGGGCAGGCTTAGTGTGAAATCAGTGTGCTCCTTGCCTGCTGGCATTAACATGGGGTAATTGTTCCTGTTTGCTTTTTGCAGGCCCGCCAAGCAGCTCCTTGTGTGCTCTTCTTTGATGAGCTGGACTCCATCGCAAAGGCTCGAGGTGGGAATATCGGCGATGGTGGTGGTGCTGCAGACCGTGTCATCAACCAGATCCTGACAGAGATGGACGGCATGTCCACCAAGAAGAACGTCTTCATCATTGGTGCCACCAACAGGCCAGACATCATTGACCCAGCCATCTTGCGCCCTGGCCGCCTGGATCAACTCATCTACATCCCCCTGCCTGATGAGAAGTCCCGGGTTGCTATTCTTAAGGCCAACCTGAGGAAATCACCAGTTGCCAAGGTAGGATATGGGTCTGACTTGGGTTTTCTGTGTGCTGCACGTGCTCCTCATGAGTTGAGGGCTGATGGCTGCTCCAGGTGGTATGGAGCTGGGAAACCTTCACTCCCTGAAGGATGGAAAGGAACAGGTAGGGGCAGGCGTGAGCTCTGAGGCTAGGTATCAGCGAAGATAGGTGTCGGTGTGTAAGCACAGCAGGTCTTTGTCGTGTAGTGGAGTTCTGCCCGCAGTGTGGGAACAGGAAACCTGTTATGGCAGGATGGAAAAGATTCTTGTACTCTGAAAGAAAAGTAAATGTAGAATGCGGGGGTGGGAAATGGAAATTGAAGAGGAAGCATTGCAGCTAATTGTTGCTGAACTCTATCACAGGCAAGAGCTTGTGTCCCTTGTCTAGGGAACAGGCAATAATGCAGCTGATAGTCAGAGAAAGACAGATGTCACGTGAGAGCTCAAGCTTTTTTATGCTGAGCTTAGCTTTTTGGTGCTGTTGCGGAGAACTTCAAAGCTCCCCCCCCCCCCCCCCAGTGATGAAAAGGAGGAAGAGGTTGGTTGTCTAGGTCTGCCTGTGCCCCATCTGCGTTTCCAGTTTGATAGCGTTTCATTTGACTCCTAATGCTGAGACCTCAGCAAACTATACCCTACATCCACAAGCGCAGAGACATTTACAGCCGCTTCACAGCTTCTTGCTTAGGTGTGCGGGGAGCGTGGCCTGCCTTTGTGTGTGCTTAACTTTCCCCAAAACAAGAATCTTAACTCTGGCCAATCTTGGAAAGAACAGCTGTTAAAGCAGCACCTTTATACCATGGGATCTGGAGATACCTTCCTGTCACCTGAGGATGTCAGGTGTTAAGGAGAGGCCTCTTGCTTTTTTTTTTTCTTTCTTCTTTTTTCATTAGGATGTCGACCTGGATTTCCTAGCTAAGATGACCAATGGCTTTTCGGGGGCCGACCTGACAGAAATTTGCCAGCGTGCCTGCAAACTGGCCATCCGCGAGTCTATTGAGAGTGAGATCAGGCGAGAACGTGAGAGGCAGACCAACCCTTCCGCCATGGTGAGTGGGGCACCCCGAGCTTCCCCCCGCTCACAAGATGGACAGCCCGTGGGTGAGGTGCGATGTGTTCCTCTCTGTCATCCTCGCCTGAGGCTCTTGGTGCACAGCGTGGAGCTGGAGCAACTTGTTCTCATCTTGTGGGAGGTTGAGGCCCTCCTGGGGTGCCTCATTGTCAGCGTTGCTTAGAAGGCCCCCGCTGCAGCCCTGACTCACCGTCTGCTGCAGCGTCCCTCTCCAGCCCCTGCCTTGGCAGGTGTTGGTGCATGGGGGCCTGGAGGGAGGCTGTGGGCAGCTGTTGGGTCGTGGAGCTGGGGCATTGTGGCTCACTTGGGCCCTCTGTCCTGCTGCAGGAAGTGGAGGAGGATGACCCGGTTCCTGAGATACGCAGGGATCACTTTGAGGAGGCCATGCGCTTTGCTCGTCGCTCTGTCAGTGACAACGACATCAGGAAATATGAGATGTTTGCACAGACTCTACAGCAGAGCCGTGGCTTTGGCAGCTTCAGGTAACCGTAGGGGAGCAGGGGGAGGGCAGCATGGTTCAGCCGGCCCCAGAGCAGAGCACCGAGGCAGCTTTCTGCTGGATTCTGGGTAATGAACCCCTACTCCACCGTGCTTTCCCATTCTCCCCAGTGTGTACAGCAGCTAGGACGCAATGTGGTGGGCGTGGGCTGTGCTGCGGAAGGGTTGTTGCTGCTCTGTTAGTGCTCCTGAAGTCCATCAACCCTTTTACACTTAAAATAAGTGACATCCCATGGCCATGTGAGCCTTTTGCGTCACCTGCCTTAAGGCTTCATCCTGTTTCTCCTGCCTGTCCTACTTGGCACTGGGGTGTTGGTGTGGAGGGGGGGGATGGTGCTGAGCCATGAGGAGGATTCTGAACAGCATCTTTTCTCTCTCCTGCACTGCTGCATGCAGGTTCCCATCGGGTAATCAGGGCGGTGCCGGTCCCAGCCAAGGCACAGGAGGTGGCAGCGGGGGCAACGTGTACAGCGAAGACAATGATGACGATCTCTACGGTTAACTTGCTGTCCTCGGTGGACCAAACTCCAAATCAGGCCACGTTGTACAGGGAAAAATCCAATGTTCAGTGGACTCTCGGCTTCTTCATTCCTCAGTCAGAACAGTGTAGCTGCACGTCAGACTTTGTACAGGGAATGTTTTTTGCAAACGCAAATCCAGACCGTTTTTCAGTTGGGAGGCAGACAGTCAATTAACAAGGAGGGGAACTGACTTAATTTCTGAGAAATTTCTGTTCTAGTTTTATGTGGCAGAATCAGCAGCTTTAGCAAAGGGTACAACGCTAGCCTGTATTAAAAAAAAAAACCACACAAAAATAATAAAAAAATAATAAAAATCCCACAAAACTCTAGCCAGGCCCTGCAGTTCCTTTGTGTGGTGCTGGCGCCGTCTGTTAACCCATGTCTCGGGTGCTGTTCGAGCACTCCTCACGCTGGCGGAGTCCATCGGATGTGCGCTTCCCTGCCACCTGCGGGGTTGCTCTTCCTTCTTAGAACCTCTCAGCCCACGCTGGCGGAGGAATCGGCGCAGCAGTGGCTCCCTAGGCCTGGCCTGGTGGGAAGCACTGGTTTCGCCTCTCCTGCTGCTGTGGCTGCTTGGCTACAAAGGACGTCTCCAGCAGTCCCTGTTTGCAGGCATGAGGGGGCTCTGGGTTTGTGGTGCAGTGTGACAGTGACACGGTTGGGGAAGGGGGCAGCTTCAGCACAATGCCTTGTGCGTCCCCTTGGGTTTTTGAATACAGTTTTGTCTCTCTGGTGCCAGCTGGCCTGGTGTTGTGCCCCCTACCTAGTAGTTCGGTTCTGATCACAGTTCTTTCCTTTCTGGTGCTTCTAGCTCGCTGCCTTGCTCCATGTTTTATTTTTCCCTTCTCCAAACTGAAAAATGTGTTTTGTATGAGAGAAACTCTGGGTCCACTCCCAGAATGGGGCAGGAGGGTGGGCTAGGGCCCAGTCCTGAGCCCAAGGGGAAACAGAGTGGCTGTGTGCTCTTGGCTTTTAAGGGGTGCGGGGATTGGGGATTTCTGCAGAGGGTTAAATGCAGGCTGTGGCAGAAGGTTGTCCCGGACCCTTGGGGCTGAGTTGTGATGGAGAGGGCAACCTTCTCCCCCCCCCGCCTCCAGCAGGAGCTGTGTGGGGCTGGGGTGGTGGGAGAGAAACATCTCAAGTATGTAACACATTGCCTGGCAGATCTCAGTGGGGGCTCCATCAAACCAGCTAGATCTAAGGGCAGAGGGGAGTCCCAAAATGGCAAAAGGATGGGACTATCCAAAAACGCGGCTTGTGCGTAGCAGTGGGGAAAAACACACTGAAATTGGGAACACTGTGTTTAAATAGCACAGCCTCCTGCCGGGGCGGGGGCGGAGTGAGGCCAGGAAGGCCCCTGGGGACGGTGGGCAGCTCAGGTGCTCTGTCCTACTTCCACACTCTGCCAGCATGGCGCTTGCCCTGTCCTTGTGCCACCTCTGTCACAAAACACTGCTGCTTGCTCTGGCGGGGACACTGGCTATCGGTCCTCCTGTGGTACTGAGGTTGGGGGGGGGTGGTGCTTCCCTTGCCCCACACCGGGCCTTTTTTTGGGTTAACTGGCACCTGGAAACTTTTGCTCCCTGCTTCCCTGCCTGCAGTTTGTCCTGCTGCTCTGCAGGGACACAGATGCTGGCTTTGCTTTTTGTGTCCCACCAGCTCACTGCTGCAAGCCTGAGAGAGGCAGCTCCAGCCCGGGGTGGGGGGACCAGGAACCAGCAGCTTTCAGCTACTCGGGAAAGGGTAAAGGGCTGCTCTGTCCCCATGCAGGGAGCTGCCCAGGGTTCTCCCTGAAACCTTCCCCGGCTCTGGCAGGAGGTGGGTTTCTTCCTCCCCACCACTTTGGGACCATTGCCAGGACAGAGCCACCCTGGCATCTCTCTCTGCTGTGGAGGCCGGTGCAAGCAGGGCATGGGATGGTGGGGTGTGTGTCACAGCCCAAGTCTTCCCTGCTGCCTCTCCTAATTGCAAATGCTAATTAAAATTAGCAGAAGGCCTGGAAAATGTTCTCATCTCTCTTCTCTGCCACCTGTGGGACATGGCTCGTGGTGGGTACAGTACCCACAGGAGCGCCAAGAGCATCTGCCCCTGCCCTGAAGCCCTGTAAGCCTGCTGGGGGGCTGAGGGTGTCCCCCGAAACAGAACCTGCAGCAGCTGCTGAGCTTGGCTGGGTCCCCCCGCCCCCATGAACCCTCAGTTGCCCCAGGAGAGCAGTTGGCACCAGGGACTGGGTTTGGCCCCGGGCCTTGCTCCTTTCCAGGGGCCACTCCCCGCCCTGCAGCAGAGACCCCTGGTAGCTGCAGGGGCAAGATCCTTCCCACAGCACCCTCCTCCCCTGCCCAGCACCTTACTGGGGGGACTGGGCAACCCCCGGGGGAGGAGGGGGTTATTGGCTGCGTCTTGCCCTGGGTGGTGTGGGATGAGCAAGGGGGGGCAGCTGAGGGCAGCCCTTTCATTGCCACCATGGCTGACATCTCCTTCTGTCCCCTTGGGGTTCCCCATGAGGCCCCAGAGCCACATCCCCCCTGCACCAGCCCTGCAGCCAGGCCCCACAGGGGACAATGCGACCTCATAGGGACCACAGC